GATACAAGTAGATCACATGCATGCATGTATTCATATTCCTCACACTACAAGAAAACAGGTCATTTTCGACGGAACCCTTCCGACGGACAAGAAAATCCGTCGAAAAGTACGAAATTTCCGACGGAATTAAATTCCGTCGTAAATTTGCGACGAATTATAACCCGTTTCCGACGGAATTTAATTTTTTTTTTTTAAAAAAGAAAAAACCCCAAAACCCTAATAATAAAACGGCGCCCCAACCCCCCTCATTCACAATCCGCCTCCCTTCTCTCATCTCTTCCTCTTTTGATCTTCTCCTCCCTTTCTCTCTCCTCACGCTTTCTCTCTCCTCTTCCTCCTTCTCTTCTCACGCTTTCTCTCTCCTCTCCTCCTCCTCCTTACTCTCTTCTCAGCCAAGCTTTACTCTCTTCTCAAGCAAGCTCTCCTCCTTTTATGTCGTTTATGGTGATGTTAGTCAAATTAACGGTTTTTAAGGTCAAATTCGACCATGAAAATCCTAGATCTAGGGTTTTCGTGGTCGAATTTGGCCTTGTTAAACCAAGTTCGTGGTTAATTTCGAAGTTTTTTTTATCTTAAGGTACGTTCTAATTTTTAATTTTGATTTTTTATTTAATTTTTGGATGATTTTCGGTGGTGGTGGATCTAAATTTGGGTTATTTTCGGTGGTGGCTGTGGTCTGGGTCGTATTATGGTAATTTTCGTGGTGGTTGTGGTTTGGTTAGTGTATTCGGACGGGGTGGTGTGGGTTTTGTTAGGGGTGGGTAGTGTGGGTTCAGTTGGGTTCGGTTAGGGGTGGCTGGGTTTTGGGTAATTAGGTGGTGTGGGTTTGGTGGGGTGGTTGGGTTTTGGGTAATTGGGTGGTGTGGGTTTGGTTGGGTGGCTGGGTTTTGGGTAATTAGGTGGTGTGGGTTTGGTGGGGTGGCTGGGTTTTGGGTAATTGGGTGGTGTGGGTTTGGTTGGGTGGCTGGGTTTTGGGTAATTAGGTGGTGTGGGTTTGGTGGGGTGGTTGGGTTTTGGGTAATTAGGTGGTGTGGGTTTGGTTGGGTGGCTGGGTTTTGGGTTGGGTGGTGTGGGTTTGGTGGGGTTCGGTCAAGGGTGGCTGTGGGTTGGGGTTTTGGTGTGGTGTTTCGGTTAAGGTGGGTAGGCTGTGGTGTGGTTGAGAGGGGCGTCTTGGGTGGTTGGAGGTGGTGATACGTCGTGCCGGTGGTGGCACGGCGTATTTTTTTTAATTTCCTGAAATTATTTTCCGTCGGCAATTTCCGACGAATTTTAAATTCAGTCGGAAATTTCCGACGGATTATGCCGGTACCGGAAAATCACTAACGACGGAAAATTTCGTCGGATATTCCGTCGGAAAAGTGTTTCCGACGGAATTTTCGTCGGAAAAGGTCATTTTTCCTACAAACACTTTTTCGACGACGACTTCCGACGGAATTCCGTCGGAAACAAGTTTTCCGACGGAATTAAGGGTGTTTGCAACAGATTTTTTCCGTCAGAAATGGACGAAATTCTAGTAGTGTCAACTGTAAAAGATCACAACTATTCACAGATGGCTTTCACCATTATTTTGTTAAGCTTTGCTTTAACACTCTTCTTCATACTTGTTTTCCGTAACATAAACTCCCGCCCAAGCTCAAGGCTTCCACCGGGTAATACCGGGTGGCCCGTGGCCGATACTCGGAGAAACCTTGAGTTACATCCCAAATCCGGCTAAATTTATAAGAGATCGAATGAAAATGCACTCCCATGACATCTTCCAAACGTCGTTGGCGGGGGAGAAAATGGCCATTTTTATTGGTGCCTCGGGCAACAAATTCATTTATTCAAATGAATCAAAATTCAAGTGAAATTTTTATTGTGGAGGCGGATGCACCAGGCACCATGCTCCGTGCATCCGCTTCTTCTTTAAAAAGGGCGGAATGAACCTATAATTGTTCAATAAAGAACATATGGTTGTTTTGTAAAAAACATATAGTTATTTTATAAAGAACATCACATATGGTTGTTTTGTAATGAACATATAGTTGTTTTGTAAAGAACATATAACTATTTTGTTAAAAAAAAATGCATCCAACTTTATGTTCTTTGTATATATTTAAAGAACATTCGTAATATTAATAAAGAGCATGATAATATAATGTAATGAATATTATTTTTATTCAAAAAAAAAAAACAAAGAACATAATAGCATTTTTTAAAAGAACATTTAGCTTTTCAATCTTCAAATAAATTATTTGTTCCATAATTGAAGAGTTTTGGTAATTATTTCCCAATCTCAATTTAGAAATTTGTATATATCCTCATATTTAATTTCACTTGTTTGAATTTTTTAGAGAGAGGAATAAAAATGTTAGAGAGAGAAAAGGAAAATTTATAGAGAAAAAGAAATTCTTGTGATAGAAGACGATGGCTACGCATTTAGATCGAGTTTCGTGGTGCTTTTAATCATTGTTTTGTTAATGGAGTGATTTTTAATGAAGGTGAATATGTGGATTTATTAATCAAAGATCGAAGGTAATTTTAAATGAAATTTTTTATTTATTTTTTCTTTAATTGTGTTACTTTAGATTTCAATTAGAATATTTTGTAATCATAAAATTCATTGTTTAATTTACCTTTTTAAAATTTGATGATTCTGGATATAAATGTTGAATTTGAGAGCAATGTGACAAAGGTTGAAGATGTTGTATGTTCTTTATAAGATAGTGTTATGTTCATTTCTTGAATCTTTACAATTCAATAACATGTTCTTTTCACCTTAGCTAAATGTTCTTTTCATTTTAGCTAAATGTTCTTTGCGTCGCTATACAATGTTCTTTCCGCTTTTTTTTTGGAACGGATGCACCATGCGCATGGTACATCCGCCTCCATAAACCATTAATTGTACAATAGAAGCAATTGAGGGAAAAAGAGGTGTAGAAATTACCTCATACGGTTGATAAAAAAATTCAAAGGGGTTTGTAAATTAAAGATGAAAAGATGATGATAATTGTTGAAGAGTAAGTTATATATGGCTAGCGGCTGGTAAAAGGGTGGGTGATTTTAGGTTTTTGTATCTAAAGAATGCGCAACCTGTTAGGAATACAACCGATCTCTATCTTCTTGAATTATTTAGCGGTATTTATTTTTTTGGGGGATGAAAATAATAAAGAGTTGTTAGCTTACGTAACCGTTCTATATTCTTTCATTTATAAAACGCCTATAAGTGAAAAACGTTCTATATTATTTTACAAAACTAGAGTGCACCCGTGCAAAATGCACGGGATATATAAGAAAAAATATATTTAAACTATGGAAAGTTAATCTTGATGATATAACTTATACTTGAGCTGCAATAGTCGGTTTTGGACTGGTCGACTCTATTAAACTCTACTTAGCTTTGCTCTAATGAGTATTAATAATCGTACTAAAAATGTGCTGACACTTGTTCTATCATGCTGACATCTGCTCTGCATATGATATTCCCTGCTTCGCTTAGAAGCTCAAAAAACAGGGTCTTACTCTTTTTATGTCGGCGGCCATGCAATGTAGCTAGATATTATGGGGTTTACTTTGTCAAAATTATAGAGGTTACCCGTTTAGTGTTATAGAGGTTACTCGGTTAGTGTCATATGGGTTATATGCATGTCTTTCTCTAAGAGTTGTATACTTTAATATGTTTTTAATAGTTATTTGGTGAGGCCAAATACGTAAAAACGTGTTGTATTTTTTTTTCTTACGCAACCTGTTAGGAATACAACCGATCTCTATCTTCTTGAATTATTTAGCGGTATTTATTTTTTTGGGGGATGAAAATAATAAAGAGTTGTTAGCTTACGTAACCGTTCTATATTCTTTCATTTATAAATCGCCTATAAGTGAAAAGCGTTCTATATTATTTTACAAAATGCATATCCAATTTGACAGTTCTCTATTTTGTGTTTCTTATTCCACTTTTTGTAGTAGTGATCATTAATCATTAATTTATCTTTGTTTTACTCAAAGACATAATTTAATGTTTTGTATTTCCCATTGAAATATTTCATTATTGTTATTTGTCTTATTCTTTTCTCCTTAATTCCCGTGTAATTTTACAAAAAGGAATGTAATTTAGGAACGAAAGGAATATAAACTAAAATATCAAGTGTGAAAAAGTAAGGGTATATTTGGTATTTGTAGTGTGAATACAAATATTTCTTTTTCTACAATAGAAATGATGCAATATTTGTGATATTTCCTTAAAAGGTAAGTTGTGCAATATTTTAAAAACGGAGGAAGTATATAAGGTTTTTTTTTATGCAAATAAAGTAATATATAAGTGGGGGATAGCCAGAAATAAAAATTTTTGTAAAAGTAAAAGAGGAAATTTGATTAGGGTACCACTAGATATATTATGAGAAAGTGAAATATTATAAAATGATAGTTAGGTCAAAAGGAAGAGGGAGAAATCATACATAATATGTGTGAGGTTTACTTTAAAAAGTAAAAGAAAAAAATAAGGCCGCTTTTGAAAAGTGTGACACTTACAAAAAATAGAAGAAGTATTAGAAAATAATATACCCTAACAAACCTTTACAAAAAAAAAAAAAAAAAAAAAAAAAACTCAGATCATACAATGAGCATTTAAAGTTTAGCTTTTGGAATAACAATGTATTTTTTATATGGCTGACAATACTATGTGGCCGCTTATAAAAACACGGAGTAACTTTTATAACACTGACACATTAACCCCAAAATTGAGATTAATAATACCAATTTTTCTTATATAGAATCATAGGAAAGAGTAAATGAGATAACTATAACAGCAATCAAATGAAAGACATTTTTAACTAATTATCATCCTTTTCTTATTCCTTTAGAGAACGTAGGTTGATACGTAGGCCATCGACGAAGACTGGATCTGGTGTATAGATTACCCTTTCATTTGGGTTGGCTTTTGAAAGTCTAAATCGAGTAACTACGTTATACAGGAAAACGAGTATCTTAATTCGAGCATACTCTTTTCCACAGCACACATGAGGTCATGATCCAAAAGGTACATAAACACCACGACCTTGTTTCTCTTCGAATCGTGATGGGTCGAATCTCTCTGGTTCTGGAAAATGTACTGGATCCATGTGTGTTGAATTAACTGACCAATGAACCTAGATTTCAAACAAGATAAAATTATAAGAATGACTAATTATAATTTTATGTTCCATATATTTAACAAAAACATTGTCATAATTGGTTAGTCTTCTCTTCTTTTCCTACAAGCCAACTCATAAGAAAAAGTATACATTAATGATATAATTTACTTTCTCCATTCTAAATCACATGTTTTTTTATTACGTTTGTCAATGCAAAAATTAAATTAAAAATATCTTTAATCATACTATTGTAAAAAAATAATACTCCTACTAAATAATATTAAATTTAAATTGATAAGTAGTTGACGATGTTTTTAAAAAAAATTAAATTAAATTGATAAGTACACATTAGAACGGGTCTAACAAGATTTCAAGACTACTTTATTGTTTAATCTATAAATAACATATAGTAGTCAAAGCAAAATTTATAAATAGTGTCAAAAGTCTAATTTATAACGAAAAGTATGTCATCAAACTAAGAAGTTTTTTATTTGTTAAGTCTTTCTTAGACAAAGGGCTCATCACTTATGCGTGGTATTCTCTCTTATTCATAATCGTAAGACCGTACTTGTTTGAAAAGTTCACCGTTTCGTCCGTTTGATAATTTTACATTCTCCACACCTCGTAAATGAACAGAATAAACTATTAAGAATATAGAGCAACTCAAATGGTTGTAGTTAGGGACTTACTTGTAATATTAAATAATCCCTATCTACTAGCTTGACTATTGGAGTAAGAAAATGTAATTAGCTTGACCAAGCAAACAAGCTAATTTGCTTGTAAAAGAACTTGCCAAAAAAAAAAAAATAGATTAAATATTTTGTAATATAAAAACGTAAATTAAGGAGTTGAGGTTCATTCTAAATAATAAGCTAAGGTCCCGTTCACTTCACCTTATTTTTGCTGAACTGAAATTATTTTTACTGAAACAAAATTATATTTGCTTAACTTAAATTATTTTACTGAGCTGAAATTAATTTTACTGAACTAAAATTTTTTTTTGCTGAATTGAAATTATTTTTATTGATTTTCTAATATAATTATTCTTTAAGAAAACTGAATTTTACTGAACTGAATTTATTTTTACCGAATTGAAATTATTTTTACTGAACTAAAATTAAATTTACTGAACATAACTTATTTTTGCTGAACTGAAATTATTTTTACTTAATATTATTTTTTTTAAGGTGAAGTGAATAGAGTCTAATAGCTAGCCTTTGGAGCTCAAAGTAGCTAAAATGACAATTAGCTTAAAAGTTTATGTGGCATGCCAAATAATTTGACAATTAGCTTGTCATTGGAATTGCTCTATACTCTTAATAAATTAGATATGTTTAATGTTCTACATATATAGTATAATTTCTTATTAGGAAATGGTAACAGGCTGTGTAGTAGCGCGATATATAAAGAACATATTTGATTTTCATACATACCTTCCACCCCTTTGGGACTGTGTAGCCACCGTAATGGATGTCTGTGGAAGCCTCCCTAAAACCTCCGAAGACGGGTGTCTTAACTCTCATCGATTCACAAACCACATTCCACGAGTACTTCATTTTCTGAATATCCTTCCAATTTAGTTGCTCCCCTTTTTCTTTTGATCGTGCAATCTCCAATTGTTCTAACACATATCAAATGTGTGTGAGTAGAACAACTAAATTTGAAAATAATAACTATGCTATGTTAGACTTTTAAAATTATTCAGATATTCTAGTTTACCGAGTACATAAATTTGATAACTAATAATACTATGTATTTCAATAAGTGACTAGCATAAAAAATTATTGACAAATGGTTTAAATCAATAATTGACCTCATAAAAAATTATTGACAAATGTAAATATAATTATTGCTCAATATTTTTAGGGGAAAATACAAGTTAATCTGCCAGATAAATGAATTTTTGTTAATCTAATGGCAGTTTTGTAAATATATTGAAAAAGTAGGGTCATTTATTCAGTACTTTTGGTGAGCTGTCCAATTACTGTTTGGTGAGGAAATTACAAATGTACCCCTCAACTAGTATATGAAAAGACGTATATACCCCTCTATTGATACTTGAAAAGACAATAAAATTTGTTTATCTGGGGAATTAACTGGGTAACCCTCATGTTCTAGCAGTTTTAAAGTGTTATATGATTGTAGACCATGTTCGTTGATAACTTTCTATAAGAACATTTTTAGGTGTAGCATGTTAATTAACAATGCAAATACAGTAATACAGAGTACGTACCTTGTAAAACTTTTTCGTAAACGTCAGGATATTCAGTAAGATGTGCCATTAAGAATGTAATGGTGTTGCTTGTAGTATGGAAAGCAGCAAACAAGAGTGTTACAATCTTGCCAACTAACTCCGTCTCGCTTATAATGTCACCCCCTTCAATCGTTGCCTTAAGCAAACCATCCAAAAAATCAAGATCATCAACATTCACATGATCTTTCTTTGCTAAGACCTCCTTTTTTCTTTCTCTAACTAATTCTTGTAATTTTTCTCTTATAAATTTCGATGCGTTTATAGCACGGTTGTATGTGGTTCCCGGAAGATTTATAGGCACTGACATTAGTCCCTTGGCCATCTCATAGTAGGGCGTAGCCAATTCTTATAAATATCATTGATGATCAAAATCAAATGGCAAAAAAAGGATATAGTAAACTCTTTCGATAGTGGTAGAACTTTTACTTGGTTAAAAGGCATCCAATGAATCTCTAAATGCTCGCGTACCTTAGTATCCATAATTGGCACGTAATTTTGCATCGACTCGAGCCCAAGGAACTTATGTAGGTGTTCGTCGAATAGCTTCCATGGTTGGGAGCTAGTATCAATGTTCGTCAAAGCTAGGATATCTATGATTGTACGTGGTAACCACAGCTTGAATTTTGATTCATTTGAATAAATGAATTTGTTGCCCGAGGCACCAAAAAAAATGGCCATTTTCTCCCCCGCTAACGACGTTTGGAAGATGTCATGGGAGTGCATTTTCATTCGATCTCTTATAAATTTAGCCGGATTTGGGATGTAACTCAAGGTTTCTCCGAGTATCGGCCATCCGGTATTACCCGGTGGAAGCCTTGAGCTTGGACGGGAGTTTATGTTACGGAAAACAAGTATGAAGAAGAGCGTTAAAGCAAAGCTTAACAAAATAATGGTGAAAGCCATCTGTGAATAGTTGTGATCATCTTTTACAGTTGAGGAATATGAATACATGCATGAATGTGAGGATGATTCTAGCGTAGTTGTCGACTACGGATGACTATAGTCAACTACGACAACAGACTAAATCTCAACCGTTGATATTTTTTAGTCTTAATCTTAGTCTTCGAAAAAAAAATTAAAAATTTTAAAAAAATTAAAGTTACACATCATTTAAATCATGACAAGTCAGCGCCCAGTCAGTGCCATAGTCAGCAAAGAGTTGTTTGGTTTATTACATTTAGAGGGTAATTTTTATTTTTCAAGATATAATTTTTTTAATATATACTTATTTTTTAGTATTTATCTCAATTTTAACGATCAATTGAAGAATTCTCATATGATTTATTTCAAAATCATTTTGATAGCTTCATACTCATATTGATAGTTTAATTTCAATCTTCTTTAATGGTGCACTCCACGCATCTTCAACCTTCAACCTTTATTTTTTTTGTCCAAATCTCATCCTTAAATTACCGAAGTATATATGAGATCAATATTATTAATGTATAATCATCATATTTATGCATCAACTTAAATTAACTAATGAGATTAAAATCAATTTACTTATATGTATACATGATTTGGTTAAGAAAATCATGTATTATCTTATGATTTTGTATTTAATTTTATTATTTATATGATTTTTCAGTAATACGCCATTGTTGAATGTTTTTTTTTTTTTTTTTTTGAGAGAATACGCCATTGTTGAATGTTGAAGCTACAATACCATTGATGAACTTGGGAGTTAGTTTATGATGAAAAAATAATAATAATTAAAATAAAAAAAAATAATAATTAAAAAAAAAAAACCCTTAAAGACTTACGTGTTAAATATAGAGTAAAGATTTTATTGTGTTTGCCTTGTAGTCAAAGGATAACAATTAGTTTCCATTCAAAAAAAAAAAAAAAAAAGGATAACAATTAGTTTCCTTATAGTATGCCTATTCTTATGAACTTAGCTTGTTTATAGGCTGAATTGGTGTTTGTTACTCGGATATTGAACATGAAGGAAAATATTCCCTCGTCTTTTACTATGTAATTTTTTGCCTTTTTATTTGATCTAGATGGCATTACTTTGGGAGGGAATATGTGACACAATATTTTTCTATATTTTATTGTTTCAGTTATGTTAAAAATTAATGATAAAATCTAATTTAAGTATGTAAAAAAAAAATCAAATAAATGATATCGTATGAACAAAAAATAGAAAAACACAAAAATCAATAACTAAAACTCAAATTTTGTTAACGACGTCGTTTTTAAATCACCATAAACTTAATCTTCATTCCAATATCATATATATATCAAAATTGATCATCAAAATTGGTCTACAAACTTAATCTTTATTTGATTAACTTTACTTGAAATCATCATGAACTTACATCGATCCCTCAGTTTTTACAAACATATAAAAGTAATGATTTTATAATTAATTTGGAATTCTATATACGTTTTGTTATGTTATTATTTTTTCTAGATACATTTAAGATTTTAAGAGATTATTAATTACAGTTGTTAAAAAAGATATAAATTTCATTGAAACATATGAATTTTTTTTTTGTGACAAATAAAACATACATAGCAATTTCCTTGAATCATGGTAATATTTTAAATAATATCTATCCTTAACTATCTTAATAATGGGCAACTTTTGTAGCACTATGAGTAACTTTTGATAGCTTGTGGGTATTTTTTTTTTTTTTTTGAAACACACTTATGTGAGTAACTTTTGATAGTTTCCTATGTTCTTTTTTTATCTTACCAATTTTGCCTATGGGTAACTTTCTATTTTCAATTTTTTTTTTATCTTACAAATTTTGCTTAATTCTTTTTGTGATAAAGAAAATATCCACTTTTTTAATCCAAATTTGCTTAATTCCTTAATTGAAATTATAATTTGATTGTAATAACTTTCAAATATTCTTTATTAGGATTCTATTATACTTAATTGAGACTACCTAATTAAGCTAATTTTATTGTAATAACATTCAAATATTCAGTTTAGTTCAATTCAGCTCAGTTCAGTAAATGTGAACAAGCCCTTAGTTCAGTTCAGTTCAGTTCAGTTCAGCTCCAATCAGTTCAATTTAGTTCAGTTCAGTTCACCTCCAATCAGTTCAGTTCAGTCCAACTCTCTTCTATAAATGTGAACAGGCCCTAAGTAACCTTTTAGTAAGTAACCCCCAGGCTGTTTTAGTTATATTTTAATTAAGTTTAAGTTAAGAGATGAAAAAGACTATTTTATTATACTTCATATGTTTATGTAATGTGTACTCCCTCCGTTTTTAAATAATTGCTCCATTTCTCCATGCACGGAGTTTAGGAGAGGTTGGAGAAAGTAATAAAATATGGAGGTAGTGGGATTAGTGGAAGAATAAAAAATTATAAAAAGCAAAAATAGTGGAGAAATTGAAGGAGAGAGAATATGAAACTAATAAAATATGATATTTGTTGGGTCCATTAGGTGAGAGAAATGAATTAAATATTGTAAAATCTTTCCAAATAAGGAATTGGAACAAGTATTTAAAAACGGCCAAAAAAGAAAAGTGGAACAGGTATTTAAAAATGGAGGGAGTATTAAATAGTTCAACTTTATTTAATTACTAGGTTAAATCTCGTGCCATGCACGGTCATTATTAAACTTTACAACAAAATTTATAAAGAATGGTGTTAATTCAACAAATTTATCCAATATATATATATATATATATATATATATTGATGGTCAAAGTTGTGCAAAGTTACAAATATATATATATTTGTAACAAAATAATAGTTTCTAATTAAAGATATTGATGGTCAAAGTTGTGTCTCAACAAATGTGCAAATCCAACCATAACTTATAAAAAAACGGAGGAGTGAGAGTGAGGTATAGCTCAAGTGGTTAGAGTTTCCCTCCCGATTCCAGGAGATCCTGGGATCGATTCTCACCCCCGCCCTTTGTGGCTCTCTAAACACCAAAAAAAAACGGAGGAGTATAATATAATAAAACAGAGGTTTTTCTGTGCGGCAAGCCACATGGTGCGACAAGGATTACTTGTTGGGTGTTACTTGTATTCTGGGGTTACTTGTATTATGAGGTTACTGATATGAATTACTTACTTATTGTATGGGTTATTATGAGGTTACTTGTAAAAGTTACTTGTATCGCGTGGTTACTTAGCTTGTAGGTGTTACTTGTATTCCGAGTAACTCTTATAAGTAACTCTAAACCAAACAAGTAACTCCAGAATACAAGTAACCCCTGACAAAACCAGTAACACCCTACAAGTAACCCCTGACCAAAACGAGTAACACTCATACTAGTAACCCCAAAATACAAGTAACACTTACAAGACACCCATGACAAAACCAGTAACCCCCTACAAGTAACCCCTGACCAAAATCAGTAACACCCATACAAGTAACCCCAGAATACTAGTAACATCTACAAGTAACCCCTCAGAAAACCAGTAACACCTTACAAGTAACCCCCACCGCACCATGTGGCCAGCCACATACAAAAATTTGTATATAATAAAATGATTTTGTTAAGTTGTTCTTATAAACGTTATGTATATTTGTAAGATTTATACAAATTATCCTACCAAAATTATTATTCCTATTTTTAATTAAAATAAATTTTAAGTCGGAGGAAAAAAAATTATAATAATATTATGATAATCTTGGATGATGATATATGTCAATACCTTAATTTTAAAATGTGTTAATATATTTGTAACTAAAAGATTTATATTATATAAAATATATGTTGAAAAATAAAAAATAAAAAAAATTAATTGAGTATATGTATGATTGGATTAGATGTGTTGTCAAAATGGAAATAAGTACTACGGTAGGTTATAAAATGGAAGTTATTAAAATTTGGCAAAAAAAAAGGAAAGAAGAAAAGGCAGGAAATTTTTGTATAACATCGTGACAAGTGTCACTTTAGGTTCGCTTTTAGTATAGGTTAATTGATTGATGGTGGAAAGGAAATAAATACTTCATTTTCTTACTTAAATTTCCAAGTTACGGAATGTATAAAGACTTGAAAATAAACTTTAACATTATATATATATATATATATAATATATTTATTTTAATCAATACTTTATCTATGCTTTATTTTATATATTAAAAAGCGTTCCTAAGACAGAATATGTTCCACGTGTCACCTTTTACAAGTTCGACATGTCATAATATGCGCCACATGTCATTATAAACATGACATGTCACTTTCACATGTATTAGGTTTGCATCTAAAAAATGCTTATAACAAAACTGAACCCAAGACCAACAAGTCTTAAGTTAAGAGACTTACCATCTTAGCCATTTATTAATTGTGTTTTTTTTCAACAAAATTATAGTTAACTTAGATAAGTTAATTTGTGTCTTATTATA